TTATACTTTGTTCGCATTCATTAATTATAATATTATTCATTGTGTATTCCATCGCAAAAGTATAATAAACATAATATTGTTAGTATTTTAACAATTAATAATATAATATCTAAATATTGAATTTAATAATGTTAAATTATAAAACTTTCATTACTTGTTATCAATAATTATTTTAATTGATCATGCTAAAAGCTAAAACCCATAAAGGTAAGCAAGCAGAAATCCAAAAATAGAATATTATAAATTATAGTATTCGAGTTACCATAGTTTTCGTTGGTTATCTTGTTTAAATTTAGTGGTAACTCATGATAAGACTTTTTTCGCGGGCAATCAACATTTTAATATTTATACATAATAATATTTTATAATATCTTCGGCTATAGTTGAGATACTGTGGTTTTCGTGGTTTTAAGAGAAAAAATTACGCTAACAGATAGTGTAGCTAACTCAAAAACAAAAAAAAAAAATGAGTTACGACACTCTTCGTTGGGGAGAATCGAGACACAACATCAGGGCTCCCAAAGAGGGGGGGCTGATAGACCTAGAGTACAGGGGCCTGGCTATTTTAAGGGCCCGTAGGCCCGTTGAAATTTATTTGTAATTTTCGAAATTTTAGTAGAAATACTTATTTTACATTAAATAATATTGTAAAATAACATTTTATTTATATATTTAACTATTTTGATAGTTCAAAATGCGGATTAACCAATGATTACCTAGAAATTATCTTGGTTGCAGTTTGTGGCTTCCTTATCGCTTATAAGCGATATTAAATTGTTATTACCTTGAATTACCTAATGAAGAATTGGAATTGAAAACAAAATCACTTGTACAAAAATACAAATCTAATTTATCTGAAAATATGTGTTAAGAAATGTTATATCCGAAAACTATATATTCTTCAACATTTCAAAAAAGCAATGTAATGCCACCACTCGAACTATTAAATTCCATTTACGCGAAAAATGTACAAAGTAATCTTGTGTATTAGTCTTGTACTATTCCAGTGACTGTAGCAGAAGCAGAAAGATCTTTCAGTAACTTGGGAAATTCACTAAAGACGTGGCAATGATCCACAACTAATCAAGAACGATTAAACTCACTTGCTCTTTTATCTATGGAGAATGAATTGGCTTCGACAATTAATTTTGACGATATCATAACCAAGTTCGTTGGGCTCAAAGCCCACAAAATAAAATTTTAACTTAAAAAAAATATATTAAATATAAATTAATATATACTCGTTTTTTTATTTTTTAATTTAAATAATATTGCAATAAAAAAATAAAATAGACAATATTAATGTTGAAATGCTTATGAATCTTGAATTCGAATTGGTATAATGAAAAAACAAATATTATTCCTAAAATTGTTATATATAGTAAATTGTATTTTTGGAAGTTTTATAAAGGGTCCGGCAAACATTTAATATAGGAGCCCGTAATTGTATGTAAGGGCTATGCGCAACATTACGGTTCTGGTCTTTTATCCATCCCAATCGTATATACATTGAAAAGTTCAAAAACTGATTAGACGCGTGACAATAAAAATGTTGAAAATAAAACAGAAGCACATCCAACGACGATCGCACGATTTCAAAACGTATAAAAGCGTACACTATTAATATCCCGCTAATAAATAATAATTATTGCAGATCGACTTTGTTTGCGTATAGGACCGCCGTACGTATAAAATATATTATGTGTTATCTATAAATTCCAGTATTGCGTTATTGCAGAAACTTTATATGGGTCACTATATATGGTGTGTGGCCAAATCGCGTGTACGAGTACCTACATTAAATATTAAATTATATGCATACGATATGTGTATGTGTGTGTGTGTGTGTTTCTGTACGGGTATTCAATTTGTGTTTTCTACAATACTAAATTTACACCAAAAGGGTATTTCATTGTATGTATAACAAAATGATCATGTAATAAAATATTTTATTTCAAATTAATATTTTCTGAACCAATTTCGGTGTACAAAAGTTTGAATAAACAGTTCGGTGAGAATCTTAGGTGATATATATATATATTTATTTAAGAATTAGTGAATATACCGCAGATTACACTTGTTTCATAGCAGAGCCGTACCGAGCCATTTTTTATCCAGAGGCAGAACTGAAGCAATGCGCCCGCTAGGTCGAAGGGTTGTCACACTCACAACTTTTAACATGTATAATACGATTCGGAAAAATCCGAAAAATTGTAATTAGGTTTCTAGCAAAACAAGAAATAACATTATTTAAAATGAGTTAATTAAATTTGATATTTTAGCGCCCTCCAGGTTCAGGTGCCCAAGGCGAGTGTCTCGCTCGCCTCACTCTAGTTACGGGTCCGGTTCATAGCAGCAATAGCTTGCTGAACAATCTTCCGACAAGTATACCGGAAATCTTACCGTCTTTTCCGCTAGAATTGTTGACATTGGTATTGGTAAAACGTCATGCTTGGCCGTGTTGAGAATATGCCAAGAGAAAAAAATATCACGTAACCACGACACGGACGCTCTATATATAATACACGTCGACCCAGTTCGAAACTCAAAGTGCATTTAATCGGGAACGAATGAATGAAAAAACGTTAGCAAATATGTTTTTTTTCCTGTTAAACGATTCCAGCGGTGCAGCCGATTTTTTTTTTTTTTAAGATATGTGTCACAAAAACCATCGAATGCAGGATATTTATATATACTCCGTAGAAATACAATTTAATCGGATTCGAACAGTTTCATTTTAAATGCTAAACCGTTTCATTATGATGCGTTCAACTTTGTATCGAAGTCTATGCGTATCCATATCAGTATTGATGTACGATTTAACTTTTCATCGTCTTCGGAAACCATATCGTTCGACACATTATATTATTTCGACGTCGAGACGTAGCGGTTATCAGTACAGCGACAAGACGATCGGCAAGTAGTGCGCGAACGTGCAGCTGATTTGCGCCTACGCAATCTCAAAGTGGAAATTAATAATAATCAATACCGACGTCGGCAAGAATGGATAGTTGGATTATGTTTCCCCGACAAATATCACAAGAAAATATTTAAATTATTGTGAACATAAAAATGAATCGTACATTATTATTTCGATGAATTACTATACAAAATATTTCTACGATTAGGGTTACCATAATGTTTTTACACCATATCCGGACACCAGTTTTATTTCGTAAGGGGTTGGATAAGACCGAAGATATTGAATAAGGGCAAAGGTTTTCATTAGAACAGGGAAATTGAAAAAAATATATAAAAACCAAAATTGTTATATCATTAATACAATTTTACTTTGATCTACGAATGAACTGTCTATAAATGAAGAATACAATTATGTGTTACACGGTTTTTATCAGTTCATTGAGGAGAGAACCTAGGACTTCATATTCAGCATGAATTGAGTCTAGGTATGGGTTCAACGTGTTCTCTATCATCTTTTGTGTGTCCGTACTTTTCTTTTAGTAATGTGTCGGTAAAAACTCATTTACGTTTTGATATTTTATGAAAACGTAGCGTAGTATTGTAGTAATTCTATAAATTAAATAACAAAACTAATATTACTAATATTTCAAGCACAATATAACCAATAGAAAATCAAACGATATCCTTTTCACGCAAAAACAGTAAACAATAATAAACGAGAATAAGAATGACAGCTGTCGAGTGAATTACAACATGTTATGTATTACGAATTATCACATAACTACATCACATGTATCATTTTTATTATTCCTGAAATAACGTTTTGCAATCATAAAGTCGTGTTCTTTGTTTATTTTTCTAAAATTTACACATTTTACAAATCCGAACTGGTGTTAAAAATCCTGTCAATGACTGTTGTACTAATATATGATAAGGTGCAAGAAGTTAATTAAAAAACCCCAATTGCAGATCCGTCTCAAACGTTTACTTAGAGCTAGGCAAATTTAAGTTTTATCGCCCCTTACATGTAAATACTACATCAAATATTATTTTTATATAAACAATACTAAAAGACTTAATTCTGAGTTCATTATATTTATTTATGTAAAGTTAACAATTTATTAGATTACCTAATACATTACATTAATACATTACCTAATACATTTGTAGGCAAGTAAACCACTAATAATTTAAATAAAACAAAAAAGTTTTTTCAGTTTCATTTTTTACTACACATAATTTGACATGAGTAAGTACTAGTGAATGTAATATTTTTCTTAAAAATTATCCATAGTTTACAAATGTTGAACGCCGCCCTAAGCGAGGGCCTATGTCACCTACCCCTTGAACCGGGTCTGCCCTGTTGTAAACGCCACTGAATAATAACGGGCGATTCTGGAGAGTGAATCGATTTAAATCGTAGTGAAAAGTTCGTAATAAGTACACAAACGGTAGTGTATGCACAGTGAAAATATGGAAACTCGGATCAAAAGTCGATACTGAATTGATTCGCATAAAATGTATCAACGATTGGCACGAAAAATCGGTTTGACGAAACAGAATTCACAAAAACGAATCGATCTTGAAAAAGATCGGATCACCATGATCTATTCACGAAAAAACTGTTGAAGAAGATCGATTCAAATGGCCGATCGCACGGTTCGAGTTGATGTCGTAACGTTATTGTACGTTCCGACGCGAAAACGTTGAAAACAAAAAAAAAATAAAAAACGATTCGTTGCGATCCGCATGTACATTTTCAGTGTTTTCGTTGTACAATTTTCATTCCGTCGGCGACGAGTAAGTAAGGCGAAAAAAAAACGACGGTAAATAACCCGTCCGCAACGTTCGTCGATTCGGTCGCGGTCTCCGCGGAACGAAACGCGTTGACGATTGATACGTTCCGCCGTCGAGACGTAGCGGTTATCAGTGCGACGATAAGAGACAAGTGGTGCGAGCACTGCGCGGACGTGCAGCTGATGATATCGCATTGCTGCGCGCGAGGGAAGGAGGGAAGACTCGCGAACGGGAATCGATGCCGACGGTGAACGGCTGTGGAACGCACTCCGTTCCCGCGGTTAAGGTCGCACACACACGCGCGCGCGCGGGCGATTGGTTATCGTGTGGCCACACTGAGGGCCGCCCCGAACGTGCCCTTGTCCGTCCGATTCAGCTGTGTGCATCGGTCGCGCACTGTGGCGCAACACCGTCCTGTCCTCAACCGCCGCCGCCCGTTTTACCTCTCTTGCGTTCCGCTCGCCGAACCCAACAGCAGCTACTGCCGTCGCTGGAAACCACTGGAACAGCCATTTCTGCTGTGTCGTCGTTGAATTTTTTCCAGTGTTCACATCGCCACCCACAACGCCGCCGCCACCGCCTCCGTACCGATGACGAGCAGCACGTTTTCGTTTTTTAAGGCCGCCTCCAGATGGTCGAAAAACCACAAGTTCGTAAGTACAACGATCGGTCTATTTATTGCACCGGTATCGTACACATCGCGCGGAGCGATATCAAGACCCGATGTGTACGGTACTGGAGTGATTATGTTGTACATACGTCTCGACGATGTCTTCTCGTGAGCAATATCGTTTTGTAATCTCCTCTCGTGCTGACCAAATATGTTCAAAGGCCAGTCGTGTCCCGACATAGAACCTCCCCGAATTGTATATATATATTTTGTTCGTCCTTTATTAATTTAAAATATCTATCATCTAACATTACAGATATATATTTTATGCGGTGTGTTAGTTCTCATTTATTGATCACCATTTGTTAGGTTCACCACAAGTGTTATAATCGTTATGGTGATCAATAAATGAGAACTAACACATCTCACAAAATATATATACCTGTAGTGTTAGATGATAGATATTTTACATTAATAAAAGTGTTAATAATAAAGTGTTATAATTGTTAGCAATGCTCGAAACTTTAGGCATTTGCAAATTTGTCTAAAAATTGCATATTGAAATTCGAAATTCTGATTTGATACAAAATCGATTCATAGTATGTATTTTTCAGATATAAAAAATTTTTCTTGCATAATTTTGTATATTTTGTTATTTTTTGTACCAATTCACATATTTTGGGTTTAAGAACATTTATATGCATATTTCATGGATTTAACAAAAAATTTTTAAAAACATTTTTAAAATATTAGATATATGACAGCCAAAATTCTATGTTTTATATCATTTGACAAAATAAATTAATTCATCAACAGCTATTATTTGTATTGCTCTAGCTCCTAATGCACTTAATTATAGTATTATAATCTCTATAATATTGAGAACTCGTAATAGTGACCACTGCCGGCTCGTATTTATTTTTATACAAATTTACCACTGTATTAATATTTTGTAACATGACATAAGCAAATTGTATAACCATAGGTAATTCGTAAACAATTATGTTTAACCATTAGGTTATCAGCTTATACATAATATTATTTCTGTTCGTTATAAACTACATACATCTGCTTGTAAGCGACTTCATTGTACAGTGTACACTAGTCAGTAGTTAGTCTATTATTTTCCATTTTTTTACTGCATATTATATTGCATATTTTGATATTTTTTAATGCATATTTTAGTACTTTTTAGCGTATAAAATTCCGAGCCTTGATCATTATATATTGTTTTTTATTTTTTATTACAGACTGTATTATATTTTTTTTTTAAGAAATGTATTTTTTCCTTTGAAGTGCACAATAGTTACACCAAATTTGTTTTGCAGTTTTTGACCAGTTTTGGTGTATTAGCTGGTGGTGGAAGTTCTATAATTTATGCTCTTGAACAGTCCATTCATGCATCAAACGATGCGGCTCATGTGGCTAAACAGAAATGGAATCATAATGGCTGGTTTGATACATTAGACCACGCCAGGTAAATATAAAGTTTCATAATTGTGTTAAACAAAAATTACTTAAAGTTTTTTCGTAGTGTTCGTCGTGGTTGGGAAGTATACAAAAATGTTTGTGCTGCATGTCACAGTGTTGAGTACTTAGCATATCGAGAGTTAGTTGGTGTGTGCTTGACAGAGAATGAAGCTAAAGCTGAAGCTGCTGAACAAATGGTATTATGAGTAAACATTATTACTTTTTATATCATACTTTATCATAATATTTTACATTAAAATTTAGATTGAAGATGGACCTGATGAAACAGGAGCTATGTTTAAAAGACCTGGAAAATTATCGGATTTGATACCAAAACCTTATCCTAACGAAGAAGCTGCTCGTTATGCCAATAATGGAGCTTATCCACCAGATTTGACTTACATTACGCAAGCTAGAATAGATGGAGAGGTAAAGTTGTTATATTTTATTTTTATTTATGAAACATTGATGACACTTTAACTATTGCAATATATTATTTGTTATACCAAAAATATCTTTAGTAAATAATATTACTAAACTGTTAATAATATTTAAATATTTTTATAGTAAATAATTATCTAAATATCTATATTCAGTCTCAAATAAAATAATATATATTTGCCATCTTGTACGTCACATTGGATACAATGTTGGAAGTAGTAAGGTTTAGAATTTTTGTTTTATTTGAAACTCATTATTGGTATTTTTTAATCAGCCAAAATAATAGGGACTTAGTCCATTATACCATGTAGAACCATTGGTTTTTTGGTATCTTTTCAGTAATTTTACTAATTAAAAAATTGGTTTTGAGTATTTTTTTATTTTTAAATAATTAGTATTTCTAATAATCTAATATGTTCAATACTTATTTAGAGAATTTTATCAATACGTTTTGTATTGAATTGTTTTGATAGTTAAGCAAGATACTTGAGTCTATTTTATTATGTAAATAACAAAATATTGTTTATATATATTTAATATTTTATTAATTATTTTCTATTTTTATTTTTCTATGTAATATAATTTTATGTTTAAAATTTGAATTTAAATGTTAAGTTAATTAAATCACCATTTATTTTGAGTTTTATTAATTGTATTTTATATACTAATTGAGTGGCTTTGGCGCTATTCACATTATTTTCAAGTTTAATATTGAAAATAAATTTCAAATATTAACTTGAATTTCAAATATTTTCAGAATTATATTTTCTCTTTGTTAACTGGATACATGGATCCACCTGCAGGAGTCGTACTTGCAGAAAATCAACATTTTAATCCTTATTTCCCTGGTGGTGCAATTGGTATGGCTCAGGCATTATACGATGAGGTAATAATTATAAGTATTGAAGAAATTATCACTTATAAATTATTAAATAAAACAAATTCTAAAATTATAAAACTAAATTGTTAATTTAGATTATTGAATATGAAGATGGAACTCCGGCAACTCAAAGCCAGTGTGCTAAGGATGTTGTTACATTCTTAAAATGGTGTGCAGAACCAGAACACGATACTAGAAAATTATTTGCAATGAAAGTATGTTACATTTAGTTTTCTAATATATTATTAATATTTTAATTTATTATTTATTTATCGTAGGCTTTTACTATCTTGGGAGTACTCAATTTGGTTGTTTGGTACCTCCATAGACATTATTGGTCAGTAATGAAGACACGAAAGATTTTCCAAAGTCCAAAATCATTGTTTAAAAAGTAAATTGTCCTTAGATTGTAGTAGCCAAATATTAAAAAATTGTGTTAATTTTTGTTTTAAACATCAGACGTTTCTTAAATTGTTAAAGTTATAACCAAACACAAAAAACCTATTTTTTAAGTATACTTCAGCAATAAATTCTCAAAAATATTCATTATATAATGTATTTCATATAAATTAAATATCCTAAACAGATACTGTAAAAACCTTATAGTTATTAAGTACTATAAGTATTATTATATTATTGTTATTATTATTGTTTTGTATTCTGTTGATAATTGTGAATACAGAGATTGTTCTGAAGTATATGAAAAATTTAGCCTGAGAAAATGTATTGTTATTAAATACAACGTGAAATGTATATAAGTGTATAAAAACAAAATATTAATATAGAATAGTAATTCTATTCTCTCTGTTGATAACCATCATTTTCTATGGACAAAAAAATTGATCAACATTTGTATTATTATAAAATACATACCCACTAGTCAAAATAATTGTTTTTTTTTCTTAATATTTAACAACTTTAAGATATTGTATAGGAACTATACTTTGTGTCTTGTATAGTTATGTGAATATTGACTCAAAAATTTGAAAACATTGAATGTAAAGAAAACTTTTTAACTTTGTTGAGTTTAGGTATTTATAGACAGTATATACACATAAATAAAATGTTTATAATTTTTTTTATTAAAATAATTATATTTACAGTTATTTTTAATTTTATTATTTTTATTTCTCTATTTAAAATAAGATGTAAAGTTTTAACGTAATTATACATTAAAAATAATTATAATAGGTGGTATCTAATATAAAAGAATATTCAGTTTTAGAGAATTATTGCTTTGGGGTTTAAAACTGGATTTTCAACATTATTATTATTCATAGAGCACACCTATTTTGTCAATTTGTATGATAGACATTTTTAAATTGTACTTTAAAAGTACAACCTCCAAATAGTCAAATTAAAACAAGTTTGTTAAGTACAACAGTCCATCATATAATGTGGTTGCAGTAGTATCATACTTATTGTACTAAACAATATTAAGCTACTATACGCAGAACACTGAGATAACTATATTGTACTTTTTGACCCAGTATTCCTAAAGGCAATACTGCTTTGCACTCTTCTTTCATATGCGCCGATGGCCATTAAAATCTGCTCATCGACCCATAGTGTTCTAACAAAAACCTAAGCAAATTGTAGTATGATTTTTTCAACCTATAATTAATTTTACAATATTTTCTATTAAACACCCTAGTTTTACAATGTGCTAGGCTTCAATAACTATCCATCATTGGTTAGATACAATACAAATACTCTCATAGTAAAGTATCAACATTTATTTTATGAAAATGTATTTTTTTTTATTTGAAAAATAAGTACACATAAACCAAACAAATTTATTTCACAATTGTTTTACCATTTTGGTTGTATAAGCTGACGATAAGAGTTCTATAATTCATGCTCTTGATCATTTGATTCATGTATCAAATGATGTGACTCACTAAACCAAATAGAAATAGAATCATAACGGTTGGATACATTAGACCATGGCAGGTAAATAGAAGTATTGTATTATATTAGTTTTAAATAAGAATAATTTAAGTTTCTTCACAGTGTTCTTTGTGATTAGGAAGTATACAAAAATGTTTATACAGTATATCACAGTGTTAAGTACTAGGTACATCAAAAATTAGTTGGTATGTACTTGCCTGAATTGAAGCCAATTCTGAAGTAAATATTATTGATAATTTATCATATTTTATCATAATACATTACATTAACTTTTAGATTAGAGATGGACCTGATGACACAGAAGCTGGAGTGACTGTTGCAATTTTCGACGAGATCCTTACAATCTAGTAACGTGGTTACACCAGTACCGTACACATAGTGCTCATCAATTAAAAGTCACTATGTGTATGGTACTGGAGTAACTTTGTTATAATCTTCAACGAAGACATCACAATATTGTAACGCGGTTGCACTAGTATCGTACACATCGTGCTAATCAATTATAAGCCGCGATGTGTACGTTAATGGGGTGACTATGTTTTATATTTCGACGAGATCATCACAATCTTATATTGCGTTTGCACCAGTATCTTACACATCATGCTAATTAATCTTAAGTTACAATGTGTACACAGTGGCGTGCGTAGGAATTTGTTATAGGAGGATGTCATAAATAAAAATGTATATTTTCAATCATTATTCTTTATTATTGTACAAAAAAAAAAAGTGTAATCAAGGCGGAAATTTATCGTTGTGGCTTTTACACTAAATTCATCAATTATTTGTTCTGTAGATAATGGAATTTCTCGATGTATGTTCATTAATGGCAACATATTTAACCGTAACTGCCCCGCTGTATTTCTTAAATACGTTTTTTAAACATTTAAGGCTAAAAAAAACCCCATAAGAGAATATATCCTCCATCATCCCTCCCTGCGCACGCCACTGTGTGTACAATACAGGAATGACTATGTTGTATTTTTCAAAAAGGTCTTTCCGAGGGATGACTGATTAACATTTCCACTAATTGTATTTAGATATTTTTTTCCACCATTTATAAACATAAAAAATATATCATTTATCATTATTTTTATTATAACCACAGCTATGTGTTGTACGATGTGCTTGGTCTTAATTATTGATTACCATTTGTTAGTGTATGGGCCTAAATGACGGTTAAAGTACCAATCACAATATTGATGAGAATTCGTTATTTTGTGAAGTTAGTGATTTCGCCGGGCCGGTGACTTAATTTTACGCCTTAAATAGTACTGGTTAGACAACTTAGTAGTGTAGCCCCGTGAATGGGGTTATCGACGACCTACTCACGGGTTCTAAGAAGACGGTGGCATTGCTGTCATGGGGACGGTGAAAGGAAAAGAACAACAGTTTTTATTAAAGAAAGAGGTTTATTATTTGGGGGGGAAGAGCCCCTGCTGTCGGTCCGGGCTTGTGCAATGATGTACATGGTTCTCATATAATCAGATACAATACTCAACGTTAAACATTTAATTCGCGATCATAATAAGGCAGGTGACCGATGACAATACTGATAAATAAGTTGATGGAATTCTAGATGACCTGGACGGGTTCATACACACCCTCTGGGTGCTGGCGGACTTACGTGGACTGACCGCAATAAAACCATGAACTGAGGAAAACTCACATGAACATACGAAGATGACAACCGAAAAAACACTCGATATACACAGGATATAATTTACAATGCACGCATTAATAGAGGAATTAATAGACGGTAACTAAACGATACGTCGGCAACTGAATTAACTTTATTCAGTTGATAAATAAAAAGGAGAACAGCCGCTATGGTGATATTAATCATAAGTAATAATGAATTAATGAATTTAAATGAAAAACAAATGTGTTGCTGTAATAGCGAACAACAATATATGGTGCAATAATTTTGTGACCAACGAACGACGACAAAAACGAAAACGGATACGTGGCAAAACCAAACCTACCGACGTAAAAACATAGAAAAACAAATAACCTTACGTATTGACGACCCAATTATTATTGACATTAAAATTAACAAAGTGAAAAAATAAACGGGTCGATGCCGCCGTGCAGATTGACTCGATTACGGACGGCTCGAACAGTTAGGTTTACCACAAATATTATAATCGTGGAGTGTGGATGGTTTTTTTTTTTTTTCATTATCGATTTTTATATCGTATTATATCAATAATACTTTGCATTAATGTTTATATCGAAGACGGACCTGATGGAACAGGAGCTGGAGTGAATATGTTATACTTTTTAAAGGTTTTTATCATAGTTTTGTAACGCTGTTGCATCGGTATAGTACACGTGATAAGAGCATTATTAAGTCATGACGGGTGGCATGACCAGCATAAAAGGCTCACGGACGGGTGTACGTCGGGTGACTGGTTATGGTGTGGTCACACTGCCGTCCGGAGCGTTGTGCGTCGACCACGTAGTATAACGCAACACACCCTTGCCTTCAACCCCACCGCCGCCATGGCAACGGTTCACCACTACCCTTTTGTCTCTTCCGTTCCGCTCGTCGACTCGAACAGCAGCAGCAACAGCGTTACTTCAGAACATCACTAGCGGCGCAGATGACGACTGGAACAGCGATTCGCTACCGATTACTGCTGTCATCGTTGTTACATTTTATTAAATGTTTATCGTCGCCGCTTGATGATCACCACCCCTGATGCCACTGCCGCCGCCGCCGCCGCCGATGATGAACATCACGTTTTCGTTCTTTAAAGCCGCCTACAGGTGTTCCACCATTTTGTAAGTACGATAAACATACTAGTAACGCGGTTGCACCAGTATCGTGAACATTAGGCTGAGCAATATAAAAGCACGACGTGCACGATACTGGGGTGACTATATTTTACTTTTCGCCGAGGTCTTCCAAACGGCAATACCGATCGTTTGGAATCTTCTCTCGCGCTTGTCGATGGCCGACTATAACTTCCCTAAGTTAAAATTACATTTTTCTCTCACCTTTTATTAATGTAAATAATTTATCATTAAACACCGCAGCTACGTGCTAGGTCTTAATTATTATTTACCATTTGTTAGGTTCAACATAATACAGTCGAGTCGCGATAACTCGCCGTGCTCTTCAACAAAATAGAATCCAGCTTCTTTTAAAACGATTGACAATTATATTTGATTAACATACTTATTGTTATTGTGCACGTGCTAATAATCAATTTCTGTCTACTCGTTTAATCTTTGTTATACAGAACAGATATAATATTATACTTCGACTAAAGACAATTACACAAACGGATATTCGATTTAACAAGACCTATATAATACATCGAGCGTTATGATAATATCTAGGAGAGTAAAAAAAAAAAAAAAAAAACGAGTGATTAAGTTTATCGAATTATCGCGATTCGACTATATTACAATCATTAAGTGTGGATAATTTTTTTTCCAATTATTGATTTTCATATCATGTTGTACCGTATTTAGTGCTTTGCATTAACGCTTCTATTGAAGATGGGCCCGGGATGCAACGTGAGCTGGTTGTATATTTTAAAGGTTATATCACCATTTTGTAACGCTGTTGGACCAGCTGGTTCGTATAGCGTTAAGCAATATTAAGCCATGACGGGTGGCGCGACTGGCAC